GTTCAACTCACGGGAGAACTTAATAGAATATTTCATAAAATATTATGGTACCACTGGCTATGGGAAGGGGAAACATTAGCTAAATGTGAAATCTTTGAATTTTAAGGTTACAGGTTTACTCTTAATCCAAAAAAGGAAAATTAGAAATGTTCAACTGTAATAAAATTTTTTAATGCATACAAGTCAATTACAAAATCATTAGACTACCAATAAAGCTAGAAAAATATACAATACTAAAAAATGTATTGATCTATGTAATCTACAAAGTGCCAAGTTGACAAATAAAACTGGGCAAAACATAAAACTAAATAACTTTAGAACAATAAATTTTGAAAAATAGATGTATGAGAAAAAATGTTCATCCCACTCCAGAAAATGCAAAAGGAAAAACAGTTCTATAAATCTTTGTGTCAATTTGACTATTAAAAGTCATTAAAAGTCATAGTGCTATATTACCTCTTCTTCAAAGTGAGGTGTGGGAGAGGGCTCATACATTGCTAGTGGAAATAAAGTGTCATAGACTGTTCAGGAAGTAATCTAGAAATGTCTACAAAAAATGCATATACCTTAAATACCTTCAATCACAACAATCCTATTCCTGGAAATTTAGTCTACAGCAAATATATATATAATATATATATAATATATTATAAATATGTATAATATATATATTATAAATATATATTATATACATAATATATATAGTATACATGTGTATATACCTATGCACACATATGTATATACACACATACATATAAAATATTCAATTTAACAAATATAAACAGTGAAATATGTTATATGTTTTGTGAATATACATATATGTATACATGCATGCATTTTTTTCACTGTTTTACAAAAAGATTGTCATACTTTTATTCAGCTTTGTTTTCTTGCTCAGCGATATCTACAGGAAATCATCAAGTCAATTAATTTGGCTTAATCATTTTTTGTGAATACATGATATGACATATACGTATGTATATTTATGCAGTTACAGAAACTTACATGTATATATTAAATAACTTTTATTATAATTTGCAAAATTCAAAATTAAATTAATTCTAAACAATGGTTAATGGGAGATAAAGAAGCTGAAATACGAGACTAGAAAATTATCTTGTGAAGGGTTTTGATGAGGAGAAGCAAATATGGGCTAGGAAAAGAGCAAAAGTAGTGTAAAGAAAGAAAGAAGTTTTTAAGACAAGCAGGCAAAACTGTAAATGATTTTTCCTGGATGAGGATGATACAGGTAGAGAGGGAGAGAATGATAACCAGGAAGGACAGCAAAGAACTGAAGGGACAAAACTCATCATCACTGGTCATTAGAGAAATGCAAATCAAAACCACAATGAGATACCATCTCACGCCAGTTAGCATGGTGATCATTAAAAAGTCAGGAAACAACAGATGCTTGAGAGGATGTGGAGAAATAGAAATGCTTTTATACTGTAGATGGAAGTGTAAATTAGTTCAACCACTGTGGAAGACAGTGTGGTGATTCCTCAAGGATCTAGAACCAGAAATATTATTTGACCCCCCAATCCCATTAGTGAGTATATACCCAAAGGAATATAAATCATTCTGCTATAAAGACACATGCACACGTATATTTATTACAGCACTATTCACAATAGCAAAGACTTGTATCCAACCCAAATGCCCATCAGTGATAGACAGGATAAAGAAAATGTGGGACACATACACTATGGAATACTATGCAGCCATAAAAAGATGAGTTTATGTCTTTTGCAGGGACATAGATGAAGCTGGAAAGCTTCATCTCAGCAAACTGACACAAGAACAGAAAACCAAACACCACATGCTCTCATTTATAAGTGGGAGTTCCACAATGAGAACACACAGACACAAGGAGGGGAACATAACACACCAGGGCCTGTGGGGGGGTGGGGGTGGGGAATAAAGGAGAGATAGCATTAGGGGAAATACCTAATGTAGATGCTGGGTTGATAGGTGTAGCAAACCACCATGGCATGAGTATACCTATGTAACAAACCTGCACATTCTCCACATGTGTTCCAGAACTAGAAATATAATTTAAAAATGTATATAAAGACAAAAAAGGAAAAGAGAAAAAAAAAAAAAACTGAAGGGACAAAGCCCTCCAGAGGGTGAGGTGAATGGAATTCAAGTGCAAGTGGAAAGTTCTGTTGGTGTTACAAGGACTTTTCCCCTTTTGAAAACAAGAGGAAAGGTAGTGAAATCAGCCTTTTTTTTTTTTTTTCCTTTTTGAGATGGAGACCTGCTATGTCGCCCATGCTGGAGTGCAATGGCGAGATCTCGGCTCACCACAACCTCTGCCTTCAGGGTTCAAGTGATTCTCCTGCCTCAGCCTCTCTGGGATTACACCCACACGCCACCACCCGCCTAATTTTTGTATTTTCAGTAGAGACGGGGTTTCACCATTTTGGTCAGGATAGTCTCAAATTCCTGACCTCATTATCCGCTCATGTCTGCCTCCCAAAGTGCTGGGATTACAGGCATGAGCAACCATGCCCAGCTGAAACCAGCCATTTTTGTATATTGTCCTGTAGACACTGTGATGAAACAGGAGCATTTACTTGGAGGTTATAGCTTCTTACTGAAATGCACATATTCCCAAACCACGTATCGAATTACACTCACAAGAAAATATTACAACATGGGAACATAAAATTGCCCTTCCCCCCATTTCTTTCAATGACTATTGTTAGTCTCTCAAATTTTTACAAGCCTGATAAAAATGCTATCTCATTTTATTTGCATTTAGTTGGTTACTGTTTGGAAGAGTGTGTTAATTTTCTAATGTTGCTGTAATAAATTACCCTAAATTTAATGGCATAAAACCTACAAATTTAGCTTACCGTTAATATAGGTTAGAAATCCAACACAGGTCTCACTGGTCAAAAGTGAAGGTGTTAGCAGGCCTGTGTTCCTTTCTGTAGGCTCTCGATATAAGTCACTTCTTTGTCTTTCCAGCTTGTAGAGGGCTCCCACGTTTCTTGACAGATGGCTTCTTTCTCCCATCTTGAAAATCAGCAACAGCAGGTCAAGCTCTTTTCATATAGTATCACTCTGACTTCTTTCACCACCCTCTTCCAGTTTTAGAAATCCCTGAGATTAAATTGGGACTAAATGAACAATTCAGAATAATGTCTCTAATGTCAGCTGACTAGCAACCTTAATTCCATCTGCAACCTAAATTCCTTTTTTCCACGTAGTTTAACAGACTCATATGTCTCAGAGATTAGAACTTAACCAACTTTAGTGGACCACTGTTCAACATGCAACAGGGAAGATGGTTTTGTCAGGAGTGTGTGTGTGTGTGTGTGTGTGTGTGTACGTGCGTGCATTATTTCTTCTGCTTATGTTAATTTGAGATGTTTCTGTTTTTTATTGATTTACCATTGAAATTATCTGATTAATAAAAAATTACCTTAAATTTTTATATGTGTTATGAAATTAATTTCTGCCAGATAAAATGCAATTTAAATATCTAGGAATAGCCTCTGATGTTAGTTGTGAAAGACCTTTTTCAAACTAAATATTTAAAGTGTGTGTGTTTGTGTGTGTGTGTAGTTTACTTTAGCCATTTATGCATTAAAGAAGGCAGAACATCAAAGTTTAGAATTAACTCAGCTCTCATTTACCATGTGATTTGATGTCTTAATTGATTAATTGTTCAAGCACAGGGCCACATTATTTCTCCTCTTTTAATTCTTCCTGGATTTAGGATGATTGGTTCGTTTGCAACTTGTGATATGCTTTTTCTCAATGTTAAATATTTATTTGATCCTGTCACTGTAGTAGCCAATAATTAGGATGGCCCCCAATTACCGAAGTCTCTTGAAATTCACACATAGGGTAATCCCTCACATACTGTAATCAGATTGTTCTGTGAAATCAATAGAATGTGGCACTTTGGAGTTTATGTTATAAAACCCATTTCAACTTCTCTCACTTTCTCATATTCTCTCTCTAAAATCATTTGCTCTGGGGTAAGCCAGCTGCCATAATTTGAGGACCTTCAAGCATCTCTGTGGCTCTCTACCCATATGGTTAGGAACTAAAGGCTTTCAGCAAACAGACAACAAGGAACTGAGGACTCCTGATAATAGCAGTGTGTGGGAACCTTCTTGGAAGCAGATCCTTAAACCCCAGTCAAGTCAAACTCCAGTCAACACAATACAGTTGGCATATTGACTTCAACTAGGAATGCTCAGCTAAGTTTTGCCAGTATTCTTGATCCTCAGAATCTTTGAAATAAGAATGATTATTGTTTTAAGCCATTAAATACAGTTGGCCCTCTCTATGTGTGGATTCCACATCCATAGATTCATCCATGCATATATCAAAACTATTTGAAAAAATAAGAATACAACAAGGAAAATGCAAATAAAAAATGCACTATAACAAACTATTCACATAACTTTTACATTATATTAGGTATTGTAAGTAATCTAGAGATTATTGAAAGTATACAGGAAGATGTGGATAGATTACATGCAAATCTACGCTGTTTTATATCATAGATTGAGTATTCATGGGTTTTGGTATCCACAAGGTGGTCTTGGAACCAATCCCTTATGAACAGTGAGAGATGACTGCACTACGGTAAAGTGTTGTGCATTGCTAGATAAGTAAGAAAGTCACTATAGCTATAAAATAAAAATAGCCATGGACTTCGAATTTTCATCTTTAAAATGGGATGATAAGAACAGGCAGAGCAGCTCCATAGCTCCTGCTCTTGTCCGCCTCGGCCCTGCGGCGGCCATCAGCCCCCTCCGCCTCGGATCGAGGGGCGGGGAACTCCGCGCGCCCCTCGGTCCAACCTACACAACCCTCCCCTTCGCGCCCGTCCGCGCGCCCCGCGTCCCGCGGTCCGCGCCGGATAGTCTGCCCCGCGCGCTCCTCGCCAAGGAGCCGAGTCCGCGCCCCGCCCGCCCGCCCGCCCGGCGCTGTCCCCGCCCTCCAGGCCGGCATGAGGCTGCCCACGCCCGCCGCCGCAGCAGCCGCCATGGGCTGCCTCGGGAACAGTAAGACCGAGGACCAGCGCAGCGAGGAGAAGGCGCAGCGCGAGGCCAACAAAAAGATCCAGAAGCAGCTGCAGAAGGACAAGCAGGTCTACGGGGCCACGCACCACCTGCTGCTGCTGGGTGCTGGAGAATCTAGTAAAAGCACCATTGTGAAGCAGATGAGGATCCTGCATGTTAATGGGTTTAATGGAGATAAGAAGACAACCAAAGTGCAGGACATCAAAAACAACCTGAAAGAGGCGATCGAAACCATTGTGGCCGCCATGAGCAACCTGGTGCCCCTTGTGGAGCTGGCCAACCCTGAGAACCAGTTCAGAGTGGACTACATTCTGAGTGTGATGAACGTGCCTGACTTCGACTTCCCTCCCGAATTCTACGAGCATGCCAAGGCTCTGTGGGAGGATGAAGGAGTGCGTGCCTGCTACGGACACTCCAATGAGAACCAGCTGATTGTGCCCAGTACTTCCTGGACAAGATCCATGTGATCAAGCAGGCCGACTATGTGCCGAGTGACCAGCACCTGCTTCGCTAAAGCCTCCTGACTTGTGGAATCTTTGAGACCGAGTTCAGATGGACAAAGTCAACTTCCACATGTTTGACGCGGGTGGCCAGTGTGACGAGCACCGCAAGTGGATTCAGTGCTTCAACGATGTGACTGCCATCATCTTCGTGGTGGCCAGCAGCAGCTACAACATGGTCATCCGGGAGGACAACCAGACCAACCGCCTGCAGGAGGCTCTGAACCTCTTCAAGAGCACCTGGAACAACAGATGGCTGCGTACCATCTCGGTGATCCTGTTCCTCAAAAAGAAAGATCTGCTAGCTGAGAAAGTCCTTGCTGGGAAATCGAAGATTGAAGACTACTTTCCAGAATTTGCTCGCTACATTACTCCTGAGGATGCTACTCCTGAGCCCGGAGAGGACCCATGAGTGACCCAGGACAAGTACTTTATTCGACATGAGTTTCTGAGGATCGGCACTGCCAGTGGGGATGGGCGCCACTACTGCTACCCTCACTTCACCTGCGCTGTGGACACTGAGAACATCCGCCGTGTGTTCAACGACTGCCGTGACATCATCCCGTGCATGTACCTTCGTCAGTACGAGCTGCTCTAAGAAGGGAACCCCCAAATTTAATTAAAGCCTTAAGCACAGTTAATTAAAAGTGAAACGTAATTGTACAAGCAGTTAATCACCCACCATAGGGCATGATTAACAAAGCAAACTTTCCTTTCCCCCGAGTGATTTTGCGAAACCCCCTTTTCCCTTCAGCTTGCTTAGATGTTCCAAATTTAGAAAGCTTAAGGCGGCCTACAGAAAAAGAAAAAGTAAAAAAAAAGGCCTCAGAAGTTCGCTCTCACTTTCAGTAAAAATAAATAAAATAACCGCAGCAAACAAACAGAAACAAAATGAAATAAAAGAAACAAATGAAATAAATATTGTGTTGTGCAGCATTAAAAAAATAAAAATAAAAATTAAATGTGAGAAAAAAAAACAGGCAACACAGCATTCGAAGACCAACAGATAAGAAATCATCTGATTATTTTAATTTTAGCCTTGTTTTATTCCAGTTCAACATATTTCAAAAATATTATGAAAATAAATTGAACCAAAAGTTACTTGAATAAATAATTTACGTTTTTAAAGTTTGCGGACTTTTAAAAGCATTTGTCTTTTAATGGCTCCTGGTATGTGAGACCAGTTCTGTGGCAATTCCATAAAATGTAAGCTTTGATTCTCACTGAGTGTGGCAGGTCAGGCTATGGAAGTCATCTTGGGCAGTTTTTAGTATAGTTTAATAACAGCGTTTTTTCATTTTTTATTTTTCTTTATCCTATCACCATGATATCAGTCTCTGCCTTGTTTGCAATTATGAATCACATGTACTATTCCAGCTTATGTTGGGGTTCACTTAGGTTTTAATTGCCTTTCGTATGCTATAGATTTATTACTTTTGCTTTCATATACTGTTGATTTATCCTTTATTAAGTGTCCAAGTATTTTGGGGCATTAGAATAAAATCCAGGTTTGTATATTTATTGGCCATAAAGATCCCCTTCCATGGATTAGCCCTCCCCTACAATTTGTTTTTCTAATGGAATACATAAAATCTGACCTTTATCTTCAAAGACTAGCAAACATAGATGGAAAAATGTCATGTTGGGCAATGTAATTTGGTTATTCGGATTCTTTCTAAAAAGCTCAAATAGCTAAATCCTGGGTCTCTGCCCAAAAAATAACTTGATAATCTTTAAATTTTGTATGTTGTATGTGGTAAGCCACTTTGCCACTGAAGCAGAGAAGCATGGTTTTCAAATTTCACTGTCCTTTATTACATGAATTTGGTAATTTATTTACATTACCATAAACCTCCAGGATTTAGACATTACCTTTGGGGTTAATCTAAACTTGTAACGATTTATTTACTACTATTTATATTCATATTGAAGAAAATGTACAACACCCACAGATTTATCAACAGCTTTGTTTGTACAGTATGTAATTCTGTTACAGGAAATTTTCAGAGGAGGAATAAAGAAAATTTAGAAATATGAAAACATTCAGCATGCTCCCTTGGCTATATATAAGAATTCAAGGATAGGCCACAATGCACCCTTCAATGTCAAAAATTCATTTATTTGTAAGGTTTGTCCCTCAGAGACCTTTGATCTGTATCCTATTTCCCATCTTGCAACTTCAAAATGTATAATGTTGATTCATTATTTTCTGACATTTTGCTTCTTAGTGAGCAGGTGGAATCCTAAAATGGCACATAAAGGCAATTTCTAATGTTCTTCTTGACACCTAAGAGGCAATCTCTTTTTCAATGGCTCTTTTGAATGCAGAATCTCAGGTATGAGGTTCTGAATTGAAGATTTTATAAAAATATACACCTTTTTTTCTTTACCCTACTACTCTAAGGCTTTAATAATTTTTTAAAAATCTGCAGTTGTGTGTATTTGAATTTTCACTATGAGAATTAGAAAGTATTCCTAAATAAGCATGTGAGCTGATATAAATTTTTGGAAACCATTACTGTTGCCCTAAAGCATGTTTATTACTTTTTCTGAACAACATTGAATTTATTCCAGTAACCCTCTCCATATGCCACTGGTTACAGAGAATGTAAAATATAAGGCAAATCAACTGGATTAAATATCAAAATAAAAATAATGTTTGCTATTTAGTATAGTTAAGGGGAAAAAAATTTAGACCTGGAAAGTAGGCAAAAGTAGGAAAGTAGGGCAGTATATACCTTTCTTTCTTTCTTTCATCTCTCTCTTTTTTTTTTTTTTTTTTTTTGAGATGGAGTTTCTTTCACTCTTGTTGCACAGACTGGAGTGCAGTGGCGTGACAGGCTCACTGCTACCTCCACCTCCCAGATTCAAGTGATTCTCCTGCCCCAGCCGCCTGAGTAGCTGAGAGTACAGGCACACGCTACCACGCTTAGCTAATTTTTTTTTTAATTTTGTAATTGTAATAGACACAGGGTTTCACCATGTTGGCCAGACTGGTCTCAAACTCCTGGCCTCAGGTGCTCTGCCTTCCTTGAGCTGCCATAATGCTGAGATTACAGGTGTGAGCCACCATGCCTAGCAGAGAATATTTTCTTTTCATATCATCTTTGGGCATTGTTTAACAAGCTTAACTAAAGCGTAGTCATCTTTCCAGAAAGATGTATTTGTGCTTGACTTGGCCATTTACTCTTAATTAGAGTTCATACTCTATGTAATTATAGGTCAACTTCTAGATTTTTGTGTGACAGTTGTGCAAATGATTTTTCCTGATAGAAATAACCTCAAAGATTATGGTTACATTTTCATTAATTATAGAGTATTAACTAGTTTTATATCTAATTTCACAATTTCATTCCCGTGTTTATTTTCAGTAGTTGTAAGTTACTGGATTCCCCAAATACTAGTTCAACCAGCTTTATCATTTCACTGGTTTCTTCATGAAAATGTTAAATGAATTTTTGACAAGTTTATAAAATAAGTTCATTATGATTGACTAATTAATCGACATTCTTCAGGTTGTACAATTGTGTAAGACTTGTTTGAAAAATATTCTGAAAAGTATAATTTGATGTTTTTCAACCATTGGCTAGTAATTTAATCTGTTTAAATTTGTTGTAGCCCTTTTGAACTTATTTAATCATAAAAAGTCTTTGTGTACTATGCATGAAAATTCATTAATGATATTAGTGATATAAATTACCTGGGATATGGTTAAAATGTCAGCCTACTGAACTCTACAAGCTTTGTAGTACTACTGTCCGCACAGTAACTAAATGTCTTGATCATCACAGTGTATCTCCTAATATGTTACCCAACTTCCAATGTCATCTTAATAATTTTTATAAATCTTTCCTCACATTCCAAGAATTACTAGTGGATTATTTCCCCTAGTAAGAAAGTTATGTGCTAACCTGAAATATTTGAGGTTGCTGGATGTATTAGTCAGGGTTCTCTAGAGGGACAGAACTAATAGGAGATGTGTGTGTGTGTGTGTGTGTGTGTGTGTGTGTGTGTGTGTGTAGAGAGAGAGTATATACATATATATGATATTATTAAGGAGTTTTATATATATATATACTTATAAATATGTTACTCCTTAATATATATATTAATTCTATATAAATATGTGGTATTTAATATTTAATAGGATATATATGAGACTTTATTAAGGAGTAATATATTATTATTATATATTATTAAGCAGTAAAACATATATTATTACATTATATATATTATATAATTTATATTATTATTATATTATTAATATAATATATATTACTCCTTAATAAACTCCATATGTATCCTTTTAAATATTAAATCATATATATATATGGGAGTTTATTAAGGAGAATTAAACTCACATGATCACAAGGTCCCACAATAGGTCATCTGCAAGCTGAGGAGCAAGGAGAGCCAGTCCAAGTCTCAAAACTTAAGAACTTGGAGTCTGATGATCAAGGGCAGGAAGCATCCAGCACAGGAGAAAGATGCAGGCTGGAAGGGTAGACCAGTGTCGTCTTTTAACTGTTTTCCACTGGCTTTATATTCTAGTAGCTCTGGCAGCTGATTAGATGGTGTACACCAAGATTGAGTGGGCCTGCCTTTCACAGCCCGCTGACTCAAATGTTAATCTCCTTTGGCAGCACCCTCACAGACACACCTAGGATCAATAACCTTTGGCAGCACCCTCACAGACACACCTAGGATCAATAAGTATTCTTCACTCTAATCAAACTTGACAGTATTAACCATCACACAGGATTACTGTTTTAGCTTCCTGGCAGAAAACAGGTAGATGGTCAAATGAGGTAATTAAGGAGAGAATAAATGAATGAGCTAGTTTCAAAAGTATGGTCTAAGTTAGAGGAAACCAATGAAGAATGTTGAAACATTCCATTCTTAGTCACAGCAGGGCACCATTACCCATTCTTGTCTTAGAGAAGCAATGAAACAAAGAGTGGTTAGCCAGAAAGAGCAAAAGATGTATGAAAAATGACTAATCTGTTGCCTTTGATATAAAAACAGAAACTTGCCACCTACATCCAAGCAGTAAAGAAGGCAGGAAAATGAATGAAGTTATTTTCTACTGGTGTCTCTCATTACAAGTCAAAAGTCAATGGGGCTCAGCTGATGCAGTCTACAGGGTCATCTTCTCAGAGCATGAAGGGTAGAGCATGTAGCTATAGGAGCAAATAAAGAATATTCAGAACATTTCTCTATTGTCTTATACTTGCCCTAATTTTCCTTGTAAAATAACATGTCTTAATTTTTATTTTAGGTCAACATAACTACAGAAGAACATCTAAGCTGAATATATAATCTGATACCCTCAACAGTTACAATATAGATGTATGTTTCACAAACATCCTAATTCCAGAATGAATAATAGTTCATTCAATTTTTGACTAAGGTAAGATCTCATGTTTTACATCGTTACCCTAGTGTATAAACATCAACAACTGTAAAGGTGGCTGAATTGGTGAGTCATTTTCTTGGAACCTAGCATCTTGGAGAATTCCAGAAAAGAACTTCATTTCCTAAAATAGGTACAAAACTCACCAAAATAGTGAGATTTTTGCTGGGGTGATTTTATAATTTTATAAAGGCCCTTGGTATCTTTCTGTTTCCTAATTTTTTTATTTGCCTTTTGAAGCTTCTTTACAGGAATAATTCCTCCTTTTAAAAATTTGAATGATTGCATTACTCACCAATGGTAGTAAGGAGATACCAGAGGGTGACAATGGAGTCAATAATAAAACCAGTTTAAATCCTATGGCAAAGTCCCAAGAAATGTTTTTAGTTCTTTCTTCTTTTCCACTCATTTTGTCAGAGGGTTTTAACCAGAGCAACCCTGTCTTGAATAGTAACTGAGTAAAATGAGGCTGAGACCTAATGGGGTGCATTCACAGATGGTAAAGGCATTCTAAGTCATAGGATGAGATAGGAGGTTGGCACAAGATACAGATCATTAAAGACT